ATATTTTATATTCTAATATATTTTATATAGGTTTTTATTTTATTATAGTTTTCTTTCTATAATATTTTAAGTTTAAAAAATATATAATATATATAATTAATTAAGAATTATTATAGTTTTCCGGATTAATTTTAATAAATTATAACTATAAAGAATTATTTCTTTTTATAAATTTATATAATTTCTTTATTTAATATTTACTTTTTTTTAACTTACCCTAATTAATTTTAATAGCTAAATAACTAAAACTAAAATTCCGGCTATTTAATTATTAAAATTAAGCTTTAGTTATTTAGTTATTAAAATCCAAATCTTTAATTATTTAATTATTAAAATCCAAGTTTTAGTTATTTAATTATTAAAATTCAAGCTTTAGTTATTTAATTATTAAAATTTAAGATTTAGCTATTTAATTATTAAAATTAAACTTTAGCTATTTATAAGTTTAATCTTACTAGTTTATATATATAAAGTATTTTTTAGACAGATTTAAATATAATAAATTTATTTATAAGCTTACTAAAACCAAAGTCTATAAAATTACTTAATAATTATAAAATAATAATAAATAAATATAATTTAATATCTAATATCTAAAAAGCAAAATAACTAAAATATAATTTTATTAATTAATTTTTAAGAATTTAAAGGTTTGAAATTTTAAAATATTACTAAAATACTTTAAATATATAAACTAGTAAAATTGAACTTATTAGTTATAAAGTCTAAGCTTTAGTTATTTAATATAAAAGAGAAACTATAATAAAACAAAAACCTATATAAAGTATATTAGAATGTAAAATATAACTTAATAGTAAAATAATGAGATTAAAAGTATAAATAGTAAAATATAAATAATATATAATATATAAAAGCTTAATTAATTAAATATTAAAAAGAAATTATTTTCTAGAATTATAGAAAAACTAGCTTTTTATATAATTCCCTCAAGTTATATATAAAAGACTATAGCTTTTATTATATAACTAAAACCTTAAAATTACTAAAATAATATAATTTTTAGAAAATATAATTTATTATATTATATTCGATTTCTTATTTATTTATATTTGTTTTCTAAATACTAAAACTAATAGAAAAATTCTATTTAATAATAAAATAATTAGAATTCTTTTCTATTAGCTAATTTAATTTCTTTTTAATATATTTAAAATAAGATCTATTATTTTTAAATAGTCTTATTTTATATTCCCGAATTTATTTAAAAGTAATTCAAATCCGTTTAATTATATTCTTATATTAAATCCAATATATTTCTTTATATTAGTTAGTATTTATTTTTAATTATTACTTAATTTCTGCCTTTACTACTAGATATTAAAAAGACTTATTATAATAAATCATATTCTAAATTATATTAATATATTCTAAATAAATAGCTTTTTCGAATTTTGTATTATTTATAATACTTTTAAATTAATCTTTAATAGAAAAGAAAAGCTCTAAATAAAAGGCTTTAATAATTTTATAAGAGATTTCATTTTTATATATTTTATTCTTAATAATAACTAGATTTATTAGAATTATAATAAAAGGCCTATTAAATAATAAATTATTATTAAGCTATTTTTTGGTTTCTATATTATTCGAGAATTATTATTTGCCTATAATTTCAGACTTATAGATTATTTATCTAATTAAATAAATTATATTCGAAGTTTTTTCTTTTATTACTTTTAATAAATACTTGCCTATTTCCTTTATTATTTCTAGCTTAAAATTATTAAAAATAAAGAAATAACTAATATTTTTAAAAAACTTTTTACTAAAATTAATAGCTTTCTTATAGTTTATAAAAAAAATAGTTAATATTCTAATACTTTTTATTAAAATAGAATTTGTTATTTAAAGCTTTAATAATAGCCAGATTTTTAATATTACTTTAATACTAATTATAATTAATATTTCTAGAAATATAATATTTAACTAGCTAAAAATAAATAACTAGATAAATAAAATACTTATTTAATACCTTATAAAATCCGAGCTATATTAATAGATCTATTATTAAGAATTAAAAGACTAAGATAAAATAGCTATTATCTAGGTTTCTAGATTTTATTATATTATTTTTTCAGAAATAGAATTATAATATTTCTATTTCTTATATTAAAAGCTCTCGAATACTAAGCTTTTTAATTTGTTTTAGATAATCTTTCTTATAAATATAACTATTTATATTCAGATTAGTAATATTAGATTCAGGAATAGAAACTATAGTATTAAATTAAAATTATAAATTTAAGTAAAATTAATTAGAAATATAATACTTATATTTATATTTTTTAATTTCCTGGTTTTCTAAAAAGAAATTATATATCTCTTTATTTATTTAAATAATAAAAATATATTTCTTGCCTTTAGTAACTTTATAGATTTTAGTAACTAGCTTTAAAATATTCTTAATAATATAAATATCTCTTATATTAATAAAAAGAATATTAGTAAACTATTAAATATATATTTTATAAAAAGCTTTAAGAAATCTATTAATAACTTTATAGTATTCTTATTTATAAATAAGTTTTGAAATATATTTATTTTATTAAATAAGTATTAACTTATATTTAGCTAGTATTTTATAAGTATATTTATTATTTTTAATTTCCCCGGATTTAATTTTTTTAATCTTTTACTTTTTAGTTTTAAATATAAATATAAGAGTTTTTCTAAATAGTATTTTTCTCTTTAAAATAGAAAGTTCTTTTTTACTTATTTCTTTTTTATTTTCCTTTATTTTACTAGTTTTATATTTAAACTAGTACTTGAATTTTTACTATTTATTAGAAGTTTTAGGCTTAGCTTCTTTTCTTTTCTTATTAGATTCTTCTTATCTAATTATTCTAGTTCTATTAGTTTTACTAATAGAATTATTATTAAGCTATATTAACTTAGTTTTATTCTTATTAACTAAATCCGATTAAATTAAAGCTAAAATTATAATAGGGGTTTATTCTTTAGACTTATTTTAGAAAATAGAAAAAGGCTTATTATTATAAATTTCTTTAATTAGAATTCCGGAAATATTAAAGATATATTATTTAGCCTTAAAATTATTAGCTAATAATAGCTTAAAAACTAATTCTCCAAATTCCGAAATAACTTTAATATACTTAAATATCTTAATAATATCTGATTTAGTAAATATATTAGTATTTTAATATTTCTTGTTTTTAATATATTCCAAAATAGCTTTATTAATTAACTAAATAGCTTTATATACTAAAGATTTATCTTAAAAAGAAAATATAACTTCTTATAAACGTTTTTATTAAGGTTATTATTAATATTATTAATATATTAACTAAAGGCTTTATTATATTATATAATTCTATTTTAATTCTTAGTTTTAAAACTATTTACTATAATCTTAATCTTATTAAGCTTTTCTTATCTATTTTTAATAATATCTTTAATAATATTCTCGAATTCTCTATTATTAGCTTAGTAGTTCTTTAGCTTCTCTTTAGTTAATTCTAGTCTAGTTCTGTTTCTAATAAAGTAATTTTAAAAGAAGTATATAAAACTCTATTTTAATTCTATAGCTATTACTTATAACTAACTCAAACTTAATAATTAATAAATTACCTAATTCAAATACTAGTATAACTAATTTATTATTATTAAATAGTTCTTTAATAAATTCAAGCCTTATATATTTAAGTAATAATAGTTTAATAATTAAAAGAAGATATAATAGTTTTGGGTTATTATTTTACTTATTATTTCTATAATACTATTTGGTATTATTTAGTATATTAAGAATAATTAGTAGATCTAAAAGATATATTATTCCTAAAAATAAAGATTAATATAGGTATTTCTAAAATTAAAATAAATTAAATATAGAAAGCTAATATTTAATAGATATTAAGTCTGAATAAGTCTAAATCTTATATTATATTATCTTTATAGAATTAAATATATACTAGTATATATTTATAGACTTAGAAATAATTTTCCCTTTTACTAGTTCTATTTTAGTTAATAATTCCAAGCTAAAGAGAAAAGAATAAGGCGAGTAAGGCGAGCTCTCGAAGTTATTTATAATACTGGCTAGCTATACTAGTATATTAGTATATAAGGACACGTATTTAAGTAAGCTATTATTATATAATAAGCGCTTTCCAGTATCCAGAGAGCCGAATTTTGCTCTATTCCCAATACTGGCATTGGTCAAGCGCTAGTATTAAGGATCCAATTTCTGCTCTCTTCTTAATGCCGGCGTTTCTTTAGTACTATTGCAATAGATACGCCAGTATCAGGAGCCGAATCTTACTCTATTCCTAATGCTAGCGCCTTGGGACCTAATTCGGCCCCTCAAGTATAATCTCTAGACAGGCAAACCTGGAAATTATACAAAATATAGTATAACGAATTACCCTGTAAATAAGCTTACTTCGAAACTATTTTTATATTCGGAGTACTATAATTACGACTATATTAGTTTGAAATAATATATCTCGAAGTGGTTGTATCTAAAGTAAGATACCTTAATATATTATAAGATTACATATATATCTTATATATACTTTAAGCTAAAGCAGTCCGAATTGCACTACTATAATTTGGACTGCTTTGGCTTAAAGTATACGAATTTAGCCTAGTAAAACTTTGAATGGCTGAAAATTTGTATTAAAACCTGAACTACTCCGGCTAATAATATAAAAATCCAGAGTATTCCTATATTTTGCACTATACTGACTCGAGATTAGGTAGTCCACTATATAGAAGTTCTGGGATTTATCTTGGATAGAGACCATCCAAAAGGCGAGGTGATCGGTAACGTCTAACGGGCCCACTAAATAAAGGTTAAGGGGGTTATCCTAATAAAGACCATCCAAAGGCGAGGCGAGATGGAGATCCTTGCACATTTGGTGTGTACACGCCACTTGGTTTCTATACAGTACTTGGTGTTTACACACTTCTTGGTCTTTGCACGGCATTCGACTTCCCAGCTCGTGGCAGACTTCATTTGCCGCGGGTATGCCATTCTCTTTATTCATGTTACAGCTCTTCGCCCCATACTCGTTTTCATAAATTAACTGCCTACAAGATAAATCGAAGCCTGCTGAAGGGGACCGCTTTGGAAGTAAAGCTGATCTTGAAGATTCTAAGAAATTTGTAACAGGAATGTTCTGCATGTCCTCATAGAATATGATCCTGCTATTTGATGGACAGCTGCTCAATTTTGACTCCTCGTGCTTTCAACAACTCCGGTGTCAACCTTGGGTCATGCCACTGCACCTTTCCTTCTTTCTCGTTGACAAATCTTGTCTCCCCAACGTTTCCATCAGAATCATATTCATTATCTTGAAGAATGTCTCCAAACTGAAAGCTCACTCGCCAATTCGGAGGCAGAGCAGGCAATCGCGGATCATTCTGGGTTTGAATTTGGCCATTTGTGAAAAGATATCCCCAGGGTCTGGGCCTCAATAACTTAAATAACCTCCATCCCTGTGTGATTGGCCCTAACAGACCTTGGCCTTCCATTAAGCCAGGTACATAACATTCTCCGCGTAGTTCAAAGCAGCCTGGCTCTTCTGCGATCGGGTGAAGAACTATGGGAAATTGGAAGCCAAGGACCACGCAGACAATGTCCCCTGGGGCAGCTGTAGGAGGGCACGTTCCGAAGTAGCCACCGTGAGCATTGAAGAACGCCCTTCCTGGTAGGTATGTTCTCATTTGATAGAGGAAGAATGGCGAAGGCTGCTTTCCAGTTGTCGAAAACTGCAAATATTCGTCACATAATTGCTCCGATGAGGGAAAATCTATACCGAAAAGCTTGTCTCTCGATCCGGAGACTAATGTTTCCGCAAATACTTCGAGCAGCATTCGGCCATCTACGTATGTTCCTTTAAACAAGTCTCGGGGTTGGTGAGCAGCGCAGTATGCGAGTATTTCTCTATTGGTGGCACCAAGAGGAAGAGTACCCCCGACGCTAGAAAGCTTAGCAATTTGGGTCCCATGCCCTCGAAGGCTGTCGTTCGTGCTTGAATGAACAACCGTATGCTCAGACTTTCCACAAGCCAGGCCAAACTGTAAGCGACGAACAGGGCATGCCAAGTTTGGTATCCAGGATGGAATTGATTCAGAGGAATGAGTCGAACGATTGCTGATCAATGGTAACCCAATGAAGTTCATTACTCCAGAATTATTCAGGTATGCAAGAAAGAAGTCCTTGTAGACAACTTCGACTGGCAACCTGTAATCGGGATGTAGGTTGTGTTTGATGTGTTTTGGAAACAGTTCCATGATTGCATATATTCGGTCTCTTGGATCTTCGCAGTCACATCCTCTTGTTCTACTGATCACGTCCATTCCACCGGCAGCCGGTCTTGGCCGGATGATGTTCAGCGAAGCAGCAAGCCTTTGTGCCCCCAAAAAATCTTGCGTTTCCAAACAGGCTTCAGCGAACCACATCCCAGCTCGAACGAATTCCAGCAGTGGCAACGTATCGAAGCCCACAATCACAAGTACGTCAGCAGCCAGGCGGCACTCCTGATATACCCAAAGGCGAGTAAACCACTTGCGGTGAAACAACCTTCGAATCGCCAGCCAGGGTCCTTCTTCGTCATACCATGGAATCGGGGATGCAAGAAGTAGCTCAGTTCTCGAACCTGGTGCTCGGTATCTGCTACCCGAATAATCCATGACGAATTCATTAGTCAAATCTTCGGCGAAAAGCCGCAGAGACCGTATAGCCAGAGAGCTGTTCTCGCCCTCGGGACCAAGCCAAATCAAGGCTCGAGTAGCCTTGCCGTATATCTGGCCCATCCGGCCAACTTCTCTGTTCCGTTCTTCCACATCTTCCTGGTTGATGCAAATTGCATCTATCCACAAGATTCTGCCCTCGGAAGACTTTCGTAGATGCCGTAGGGCAACAACCAAGTTTTGTCTGATAGACAGAGTCCGAGAATTTGCTTCGGAAATGTATGATGGCTTCAATGTGGTGTCGTCAAGGATGGAACTCGATTCCCTTCCATAGAGTCTCAACGAAGCATCTCGAACGGCAATGATCGATGAATTCTCTTCTGGACCCCAGACGTACGACAACGCCTCGTAGCTCAAATCATTCTGAACCGAATGTCCAGGGGGCGACTCTGTACGCAAAATTTCAACACGAATTTCGTCCTTAAACTGCCCAGGGAGTAGATTTACGAGTCTGAATCCCCTTTCGGCGTTGGCGCCCAAAGGCTCGTATTGATACGTTCGCATTGCGCGGTGAATTAGTAACAAACACCGCTTCACACCTCTCTAGCTTAGACATGCGACCCGCGAAAGCTAAAAAACACGGGAGGGCGAGCTTCACTGTGGGCAAACTCTCACTCGACACACGAATAGAAACGTATTCGGCATAGGTTGCACCATTTCGGGATGGACTAAGCCATCGGAGATCCGGAGAGAGGTTTAGCAAGAAGTGTTAGAAGGACGAAGCGAAAATGGATTTTTGGGATATGGGCTTACAGCGGTAGGCGAAACTGTACGGAAAGCCGTAAGGATCAGAAGACCAAGCGATTTTCGAATCTGGTTTTCGACCTTCAATGTCTGATTTGTGGCACGTGCGCACCCAACCAAAAATCGCCTACATATTATGCCCTCTCTTCCTGTGCCTCTACTTATTATTACTACTTAAAATATTACTCTCTTTTCAATTCTTATTTATATATATACGAGAGAGGGGCGAGAGAGGGGTAGATGGGGATGGGGGTGGGGGGGAGGAGAGTGAAAGTGAAAAGTGAAAAGTGAAAAGCGAAAATCGAAAAGCGAGCTTTAAGGCATGCGACTCGCGAGGAAAAGGAAGCCCTATAATTATAGGCTACTTATCGCTAAATTTTAGGGCCACAATCACTAAATTATAGGCTATAGGTACTAAAAATTTAGTGCTTTGCAACGTAAATTTTTAGTAAGGTCCCCTTGCCCTGCCCTCCCCCTCCCCCCCTTCTCCCCTCTCTTACCCTTATACTTATAAAAAGAGCGAGAAGAATCAAAGAGAGGAAATATTTGAAGTAATAATAGAGGCACAGGGAGAGGGGGTATAATATATAGGCGTGGTGTATAGGTATTTGTGATTTTTGGTGGGGTGCGCACGTGCCACAAATCAGACATTGAAGGTCGAAAACCAGATTCGAAAATCGCTTGGTCTTCTGATCCTTACGGCTTTCCGTAGAAACTGGCTTTAAAACACCATTTTTTACGGGAAAATGTAAAACGACACCCCCCCGGGTGTCGATTATACGAATCAGTGGATTTTAGAGTTTTAATAAAGCCAATTAGTTACTTGTACTTACTTAAGTCTTTCTCTCGAATCAGATTTGCTAATATAGGTATAAACAAGTTTATATATAAGAGCTCTAATTTGGGGTGTGAAACAGGCAAGGCAATAATTGCGCACGAGGTAAATTAGTTCCAGGCGCTTGATCGCTAAATTTTCAGGCTCTCAGAGTGCCTTAAAAAATCCCGACTTTCCTTACCTTCTTTAAATTTTCTTAAATTTTCTTATTATTATATAATAAAAACTTTATATTCTATTAGCTTATAATCTGGCTTTTTATAATATAAAAAAATAATTAAATTATAATAATTCTTTATATAGTAAATTAAACTTAAAGGAAAACTAGATTTTTGGTGTTCCTCTCTACTTTAGGTTAGTCCGGCCCCCAATCGACACCCGGGGGGGGGGGGGGGGGGGGAGGGTGCGGCGGGTCGTTTTACATTTTCCCTTTTTTACCGAGCTTTGGAAAACACATCTGGAGCCGCATTGCTTATGACCCAATATTACTAAATCGCGAATTGCTCAATAATAATAACTCCAGATTATAAAGTAAGTTAATCGAATAATAGAATGCTTGCTTGTCTTTAGATCCCTAATAGCATTAGTGCCCAAGCCCGGTATTTGTTTGCTACTATATATAGTCGGGCAAATTAAATATGCCTTATATAACCCCGAAGCCATTATTAATAAAACTTACCTTTAATAACTTACTATTAATTTTAATATTATTCAGCCCTCCGGACTCAATATCTTGCATCCCCCGTCCCAGACAAAAAATACCCCCCACCCTCCAATTATCGCCCCTCCCGCATGCAACCTCATACAGTCCAACTAATACATCCAGAATTCCACCCCTTCCCTCCAATTACCAAAATCGATCCCATAATCGAAGCCCTCCTCATCCAATCAAGCCCGAATATTAGCAATATGGCGAAATTCCTCCGGATCATTTTTAAGGTAAAGGAAGAAAGTGCAGAATTACTCAAGAAGAGACAATATTTGTGTTTTGCATCGCTTGAAGTATTCTAGTATTTGCACGTGGCATTCTATTTCATCACAAATATTTGTTCTGCCACGAGAATGTTCGAGCCTATGCTCCAGTAACCACACCCGCTTTTCCTCAGGTCGTGGAAGCATCTTCTCAACTTGGAGTCTGCTGAGACCTTGCTATCTTAATACTTTCGTACGCCAGGCATGTCTGAATAATGGCGGTTACCGAGGATATGATACCAAAGGCTAGAGTGAGTACCAAGATAACAATTGCCAGCCAGAATGTGTACCACTGCAGCGGATTTCGTCTATCGGCCCAAATCTGGCTCCACCCAACGGGAGGAGAGTGAAACATGTGATGGAGCTCTAGAAGCCTATTTCTCCAGTGATCAAAATCCATGAGGCTGAGAGGGCCGGAATCATCAAAGGGCCCTTGAGGTGGAAGGTCTGGTCATGCTGCCGCATGAAGCTATCTGTGAGTGGATCCCGGTAAGGGAAAAGTAAGTCGAGTGACAGCAGTGCCTCTTTGAGAACGGTGAGTGGTATCAAAGCCCTAACGGGATTAGATACCAGTTCAAGTATAGCGTAGAGGTTCAACTCACCGGGAAACTTTCTCGGGGGTAGTTTTCGAGGACTCCCATATTTGCAAATGGTCGAGTAAAGTTTGCTTGAATGGATACACCCTCAAAAGCCTCCGTCTCTTATCGAACCTCAAGTGATCCGCAAGACAGGGAGTCCATTCAATGTCGATGCCACTTAAGCGATTGATGTTCGCTGCCGTGAATGTATGATCGAGGGGGTAAGAGCTCGTTGTTGTTGCTCGTGGAAAGTTGCGAAGTACGAAGCCAGCGAGGCTGGACGAGTCATCCCATTGGATCGTTGGTGTCCGTGGAGTATGCAAAGCAAAACTCTCTTCTCTGACGTTCAATGTAAGCCATGCTCGCAAGGCGAAGTCGATTGATCGATCAAGAGCCAAATCATGAGAACTCGGGAAGTGCTGACGAAGCAACGCCCGAACGGCAGGCCGATCGCGGCTCTTGTCTAATGCTAGAGTGTTCACTATAAGAATCACGTGCTCGTGGGTGTTTGCCGCCATCGATGTTGACTGCCATGCCTCCTTTGAGATCCCAAATTGGAGGCGTCGGCATTCTGTTCCGTAGTAGCGAAAATATGACTGGTACGATCCCGGGAGCGTTTGGATATCCGTTCCCCAAAGCTGGCTGATTATGAAAGCTTCAACGTCGGCACAGGGGCGGTCGCTGAGCAGGGACCGGATTGATGCCATTTTGCTCGATCTCTTGTGAAGCCTGCGTGATCTCGTAGATTGAGAACAAGGCTTGAGTTTTGGGGGACAACCAAGGAGCGTATAAGACGAGGGAACAGCGTTCTACTAGTCCCGCTAGAAATCTGGTGGACGAAAGCCGGAGGATGGTGGATAGGGCTGTGGAAGAGCTCATGAGATTATCGGTGAAGGGATTGAGAGGACAAAGAAAGCTGCCGAGCCCCTGGAAGAACATATTCAGAGCGGTCAGAGGCAATCGCTCCCTTCTTTGGCTCAAGCCACGCCAGTGCAAACAGGGGTGCGGCGAGCCTGAAGAAAAGCCTTGCACAGGGGTGGTTGACTGTGACTGGCTGCTGGCCTCGGTTCGCAAAAGCCACGGGGGCACTGCCTCAACTTTTCCTCTCAACTCATCGAAAGTCCCTTAATCTGACAGCCCACGGGTATTCGCGAAATCAATTCTTGTCTAGGACCGGACAAAGCCAGGAGACGTTGTGCCTCGAATGCGATCTCTTCTGGTCCAGTCTCGTGATCCCAATTGGACGATGGAAAGCCTTAGTCTACGAGTTGAGGAATCAGGTCCCCAAGCTACTCTCAGTACCAGGCTCAAAGAGAGTTACCGCAGGTTACAGCATCTTAAGCCTGCCAAAGTCATTGCATCCATTTAAGACCTCAATACGAACAATGAAAAGCTTTCCCCGGAGTGGCATCCAACCCTTCTCACACCCACGGCCAACCAACAATCCGTACCAGCGCTTGCGGATGGCAATGTACACGATGATCAATCGGGATCTTTCGACTCTTTGAACTTTCTTACGCCGCTTCAGATAGAGGAAGGGCCCGAATTAGCTACAGCTCCGTCTTCACATCCCGTGCCCGGCTTGCAGCCATCAGTCGGCATAGCGGAGTGTGACGGCTCGAATTCGCCAGCTGCTCAGCAGGGCAGCGCTCTTTCCGTGAACGCTGTACCATCTTCATCTGAGGCTATTTCTTCCCCCAGTCTTCCGCATCACACAACTATTCGCATCGATGCCAAGCACTACATTTCCATGGACCTGCCAATGCCATCGCACTACACGAGCAAATGGGAAGGACGCATCAAGAAGCAATTGGAAAATTCTATCGCAAGCTCATTAGCAATCAGAGATGACACCGAGGCAGCTTTGATGCTGGAAGCCTATATGGCAGGCCGCACAAAAGGAGTTCTTAAGCCGTCAATATGGATAACGTGTTGCAGCTCCAGGATGAAAAAGAAACTGAAATCTCACCTCAAGACATTGCAATGGCTTAAAGACTCTGGGTTTCAATACTTCGTCCGTGTTGACAAGACCTTTGGTTACCGTACTGATGATTCGACTAAGCTCGATGACCAGACGTTGATCGAGGCGAGACTACCCCCAGTTCCCGAGACACTCTGTGGCATACCAACGAGAGTCAATTCAATTCTTGGCCGCGGCTCTGTGAAGCTACAAATAGAGTTTACCATCGGGGGACTTATTTGCATGGACGACGATTTTGCTTGCTTAACTGCTGGCCACCCATTTCTGCCTTTGACTCGGGAAGACAAGTGTGAAACAGAATCCTCTGGATCTGAGGACGAGGACTCGGATTACTCAATCTCTGGGTCTCATTCTGAGACCGAAACCGATAATACTGAGGGCGACTATACTGGTCAGAAACCCAGAAGTCCTCCGGGCTTACCCGGCCTATCAGCAAGGTCTAACATAAGCCTCGAAATGCAAAAAGATCCTACTCCTTTCCAGCCGCTTCGTCATAAGGGTGTCTTATCTCACTTCGGTCCATATGCTCAGCTTCGTCCGGAAGAACCCGCGATTAAGGACAATGGGAACGACTGGGCCGTATTGCTCATGGGCTTATCTCCTTCTTCACTGCTCCCGAACAAATTTCAAGTTCCTGGAGATGAACATCCAACTTTTGTTGATCAAATAGTTAGTACACACGAGCTTGTCAAAGATCTAGTATGGGTAGCTGCAGGCAGCGGTGTCCGCAAGGGTGTACTCAATCCAAACCCAGCGTCCATCTTTCTCCGAGGATCCTTCCGAAATGTTAGACAAATCATGCTTGATGAGAGCTTGAGTGAGTTCCAACCCTTCAAAGTTTGTTAGTCATGTTTAACGTTTATTCTAGAACATGGAGACTCTGGCTCATGGGTAATCGCCCAGGGGAAGCTCAGTGGCTTCATTATCGCCGGGCGAGATTCCCTGCCATGGGGATATATGTTGCTGGTTGAAGAAGTCTTTGAGGATATGGTGAATTGTCTAGGCCAGTACCAAAAAATTTCTTTGCCTTCAAGAGAGCTCATTGAAACCGCTCGGAGCAAACTGGAGAAAGGTCAAACTTTTGAAGCCCAAGATCAGTCCGCCACGTTTGAGCCTGCTGAGGCAGGTCCGGTGTCAAGAAGCAAGAGGCGGAAGCCTGAATTATCTCACAAGATCGAACAAGAACAAGCGAACAAGGACCGTGAGGTTGAGCGTTCATCCAGAGGACCTTTGAAACAAAAAGGAAAGTCACCAGAAGCGTCTAACTCGGCTGGGTGGTCTGCATGGGAGTGGGATGAGGAACGGCAGAGGTGGTGCCGCACCCAAACCAATTCGGAAGGTGAGTTGTATAATAAGTTTCCCCCTCGTTCCAAACAGGAATTTTATGGTAGGAGGATGCTAATATTAAGTAATGTAGGAGAGAAGGTTTACGGCTATGACCATGGAACGGTCCCCTTCGGAACTGGCCTCATCCAAATCCAAGGAGGAATACGGCGTCACCTGCTCCTGCCTACCAAGGACCAGTGCTTCGCTTTGACCGATGAACAATGTCAGAGGATTCAAGATATCCTTGATCCAGATGAGAGGCGACCCCAAAGAGGTTGGGAGTTGAAGCATCAGCCGGAACTTATACGATTATATATGACTGGAATGAGCTTCCCACAGATGGAGTCTGCAATGACACCGAGGTTGACCTGGTCGTAAGTTAAAGCCCTCTACAGATTCGAACCGAAGGCTGTACTGACAAGCAAACAGGTACAAGACATATTCAAACCGCTTTCGAGATTGGTGCTTCCCTATAAATCTGGCTCAGAGAGGCGTAAGGATTATGCAATTATATTCTTCAGTGTCGAGATCGAGCCCCACTACCTCCACCACTACGCCGGTCCCTTCTGAGTTAGGGAGCGTGCCTTCCTTTGAGCCTCTATCACTTCGACTTCGTCTCCCCCTTCTTCCATCCTCAGCGAACTTTGCTCAAGAAGTATCCCAGACATACGGGCGTTCGACCCACCCCCCAGGCTCAAAGCACAACGGCGCAGACAGGAATTCCATCTCAACAATCGATACGATGTCGAGTAATACGACTTGGCTGTCGTCAAGCGCGACATCAATCTTTTCGACAGCTAGTGACATCTTCTCTGATCGAGCTTCGATTGCAACAACAAATTCTTCTACTAGTCGATCCTCGGTTCTATCCCACCCGGAAGCCCCATCCAAACCAGAAGCCTTGAAATTACGTCGGCCACTCAAACCACCAATACATGATCCCAAACGCGGGCTTTGGAATGATACTCTTCGAGTTATACCCTGCGGAGACAATCACCAGAGTACAGATTGGCAGGGATCTTTTGCCAGTTGTTCAATCTGTGGGTTCACGCCTTGGCACGCGCTAATGATCAACTCCCGGAGCATGAGTGCCGATGAATTTGTTGCAGCTATGAGCCTTCTGGATCGCAGCAGTATCAAGACGAATGATTATGCAGGAAACTCTCCGATACACTTCCTTATGGCAGCTGGAGTCAAAATCGCTTATTTTAGCCATTTAGCCAACAGACACGATAGCACTAACCAGAACGTTTTTGGACAAAACCCTCTCCATGTACTCAATCCCCAAGACCTTGGGGACGACCTGGTATTTTTATTAGAATGGTTCAAGTCACGCAGAACCCCGCCAGGCATCCTTTTAATACAACGGGATATCTACGGGCGTACTCCCCTCCACACTCTTCTCCAACATCCTTTCCCACGGACGCATTATTCCCACATTCTGGAGGTTTTTCCCTTTTTTGAGTACCAACTCCTATGTTTGAACACCACCGGGCAATCTGTCGTTCAAATGATGAATGTGGCCTCTCTCAAGCTACGGCTGGAATCGGAATCAGATTACCTGAAGATCCAAGACGGCATATCAGACATCAAGCAACTGCTCGCAGAATTTGGCGTTAGTGGCGGCGGCGGCGGACCAAATATAACTTTAATGATATCGCCCGCGGTGCCAGAGGGGAGTCCTGGTTCGGTTTATTCAATTGCCGAATCTGCAACCAGACCAACAAGCATTCGAATTCTTATCTCGATCAGATGAAGTGCGCTTGTGCTAATGGTAGAGATCGAAACGCGCCAGATGAGACGGGTTTAACGCCTGCTCACGCCATCATCACGAAAGAGCGTTTGAATCAAGGCCAGGACGAAACTCCAGCACAAACAGCTGAATTGTTCCGCATTTTGATTCCACCCGGCGACCCCACGCTGCGCGAAGCTCTACACGTCTTAGACCCAGAAGGCCACACACTAGTGCGCAATATTGCAGTAAGAGGACTGGATGAGATCCTACAATATGTGTTAGAGCTCGAAACTCCGGCAAGGGGGATGGCCATGGTGAATGCATGCTCGATAGGCGTAGATGGGGTTGAGAGGAGTGTGCGCGCATGGGTTTTTCAAGAGATAAGGGAGCTGAATGAGAGGATCCGGATAAATCCGTTTTCTGCGGATAAAAAGTTGAAGGAATTCTTGGTAAACAGGGGCACCCGCCTTACGAGGTGTACGGAGATACTAGAAGCAGCAGGAGCAGTAACGCATCCGAGTGTTATACAAAGATGGAGGATTAATGAGTGAGCCACTGAAGAGATAATCGGTATCAATAGCTAGGGGTTCAATACAATGTATATCAGTTACCACTTTTGTTAACCTATCGAGCCTATTTCTCTTCTGCTATTTGACAGATGTGTGAGGTTCACATTCTTCTTCTCCTTGAATTTCAGGACTAATTACCACTGAGGCCTACCTTTGACTATACTAAGGGACCAGTGTGTCAAATGATTTAGCTTGATTTGATTATCGCCTCTGAATCAAATCAAATCAAGTCAAAATCTACTTAATCAAGTCAAAATCTACTTAATCAAATTATAATCAACTATAATCAACTATAGTTAATTATAATTAACTAGCCTTGATTTTTTTTTTGACACACTGTAAGGGACCGCCTATCGATTTCAGGACCGCCGGCGACCGAGCCTATTCTTGTACCGCCAGGAGGTCTGATCTGGCGCATTTATCGCATATAGCCCTTTAGCTGGGATAAAACCATGCTCTGCTCTAAAGGGGCAAGGTAAGGCTACGCCTTTTCAAGCATCTAGCCTTCAATAAACTCCATAATAATACATCGACAACTATTCCTCTCGTAAGCATTGAGCACTTTGGGTACTGTGGTACGGCAGGCCGTACTCGTCAAAAATCATGTCGTTTTGGCGGTTTTGAGGTTTAGGTCACATGGCAAAGGCCGCGGCCTTTTGCACGTGACTTGCGGAAATCACATAAGAAAGCTGGTTTTTCTGTAGACTTAGAGAACAATCCTTCATGAGTATTCAATCAATTGAGCTTTTGCACACTGTGCACTGTTTATGCTTTACTGTTTACGCTTTTGATTTGTTATTTTGCTGTCAAGTCACGTTTTGCGCTCTGGTGTACTTTATGTGGGTTTTTGTCTTGTCGCAGTTTCCCTCCCACAGTACCTTGCCTTTGAAAAGAAAATCAGTGTGCCCCTGCAAATCCCTGCAACACCCCTGTTCTGCTTGCGTAGGATTTCTAAAATATGGGTATACGCCCAAAGCGGGAATAACAGGAGGCCAACTCTGATTAGAATGCATAAGCACCCTCTCTAGGCAAACCCTAGAACGGATGCTTATGCATTTGAGAACTTGATCCTCTTCTAGCCCCCTCCCCCCGCATTTAGCAAGCTAATTTTTGTAATTTTATTGTAAAGTTAGGCTTTTTCCCCGGGCTATTCTTTAGCCCCTGCTACGCGTACAAAAGGCAGGCAAGAAGTACGTTCCTCTCTTGCCCCTTGTAATCGTTTAAAAAAGTATATCCCCAATACACGCGCTCAAGATATACGCATATACTCCGTATACTGTCGCGTGCCTCTAGCCTATTAAGGTCCCCAGTATTGGTAGGGGATAAGCTTTAGAACTCCCAGAATTAGCACGATGGCTAGTTGACGTTGAATTTGTTTCCCCCGAAGATACCTATGATGGTTGGCAGAAGGAGAAGACTGACAATTACAATTGCGACGGGCCAGAAGGAGGGGAGAGGAATGAAGGCCATGATGGGCAGGTTGAGTGAGGTGTCAGCAAGGAAATTTGTTCTGGGGTCGGAATTTCGACTTGGCGATAACCGACAGCCTTGGCTTTATAGCTTCACTGTGGAAGTGCTGTCATGCTGACAGCCGCATAATGTTTGCAGCCTTCTTCACATGTCATTCACATATGAATCTGACTGCAAAAACAGTACCTCGAAGTTGTGGATTCCTCTGTAATCTTTCTTTCATATTCCTTGATGTCAGTGGCCCTGGCTTCACCTTTGGCTGAACGGAACAACCACTGAAGAATTATGGGCAAGTAAATGCAAGACTGAGCTGAAATTTGAACAACTGAATTTTTGATTGTTTATTAAGTCTCCGGCTCACAGATCGGATCTTGCTGGTCCTCGGTCATTTAAACTCTACACTCAAATTAAAGCAAGCGGCCTTTGACTAAAAGCCTCCACTCAAAACCCCAAACTCCTCTCGTACGCCCCCGCTCCTTCAATCAGTTCTATCAAACTATACGACATCCCACTACCCCCCTCCTGCGCACCAGTCGTCAAATACAACGGCCTCATCTCTCCATCCTCACTAAAAAACAACTGCGATCTTTCCCTCCGATAATAACCCACTACATTCCCATCCTCAAAGCTAACTTCAGTACTAAACGCCAAAGTCTCGTTATCAAAATACCATGGTCCTTCTAGCTCCACTGCAAATGCATGTCTCCCAACTTTTGGACCATTTCCAATTCCACCATCTGCTTCCAAGGAGTGAAGAAGCATGTGCCAATATCCTCTTCTATCGCGCCAGACGGAATCTTCGTTTGAATCCGGGAAGATAGGTGAAGATGGCTTGATGTATGAACCCAGGAATGAAGGAGCGGTAGAGAGGGAAATCAGTTCGTTTCCGGAGCAATTGTACGGACAACCTCTGAATACCACTAATATCTCTGCTGTTTCGTCGTATGGAGAGTAGAGTGGAAAAGGAGAAGGATTGGTGATATCTGCATCCCAAGCCCTGTCATTTCATAAGACAATCAGATCAAAGAAAATATTTCAGTCTCGACTCCTCGTTCATTATCCTTGATACCACGACCATCCATATACGATTCCAGGTAGCATTCCCCAATAAACTCGTACCTTTTGGCGGGTTGGTGAGTAGCACGATGTGGACCTGGTAATTCTCGAAGAACGTAAGGAACTGGACCTCCATAGAGAACGACAAGTATATCACCAACCCGAGCCGAAGGTGGGCAAAGTCCAACCAAACCTCCTCGTGTGCTGAAGAAAGAGGAGTCGTTACACTCTACCGCATTAGTCTTGATTGAAAAGTCTTGATGTGCAGCGTAGTGAGCCCTCATCTTCGCAGTGTCGTCCAAGAAGACGTAGGCGTCCATGTTTTCTGGCGCCAGTTGGTGTTGCCACTTTCCGGTAAGATTCAGGGGATCAAAGATACCAACGTATGCCCGGTGAAGGCTCTCAAGATTTTGCGGTGGGCTGAAATATGGATAAGGGATTAAACTTTCGATGAAATCGATCTTGATCCCAGCCAAAGCGAGAATTGACATCTGTTCACCTTCAGAAATCAAGGAAATATTCGGTTTGGTGTCTGCAGAAGCGCGGTACGAGTTATCTGTTTTGAGGCCGAGGATTCCAATAGTCCAATTGCTCCGTCCACGGAACCACCAAGACCACGTCGGCTGATCTGCATCGTATTTGGGAGTTGTCTCCCACTTGTTTGCCTGCCATGCTCTCCCGTCCAATGCATGAATTGCAGAGAGAATTCTCAGAGACTCATGCTTCACAATCCACCATTTTGTGAAACTTGAAAACACTTCCGAAACCGACCTGCGGTAATCAGGCACAAGCTCAAGCGGCAGCAATTCCGGATTCTGGGTCTCTTTTCCAAATTGCAGCATTGCGAAGATCTTGTCGCGAGGGTCTGTAGCATCCAGATCAAGTCCTTTGATGAGGACTTCGAGAATCCCGTTCTGCATGGACTGTGAGTTACCAGTCGCAAATTTAGCATGGAAGAGATCGTCATAGATTGGAGGCATCATAGCCTTGTGAGAAGAGTTTACCTTTAGACCCTTAAGTGATGAGATGCATTTATTGACTCGCAGCATCGTTGCCAGATTGAGTGTATTGTCCCCACAATAAAAGGTTGTTTCTCGTGCATTGAAAGCTTCTTGAACGACCCAGGTGCGACTGAACCATGGCGATTCGAACAATGTCCAGTCATCAACAAAGTCGTACATGCCAGGATGCTTTTCGCCATTAACAGTTTCCATCAATGGGTCATGGAGACGAGACAATTGGGTTGCTGGCAGATCCATGGACTCGTCTGGCTTGTACCGATTCTTGATAGTAGTCAAAGTCATAATGGATTTATGCATGAGCTCTGTACCTTGTCCCAGCCAAACGACGACCCCTTGTGCCTTGCGATAGACATCACACATCAGAGAGACTTGAGACGATCTCTCATCGAGGTCATTTTGGTTGATGCAAATTGAATCAGCCCAAAGTACCCTGGCGACCCCATTCTGTGGTCGAAGTTTCTGCAGTGCCGAGTACAGAGATAGGGTGATGGACATGATGAACTCTGAGTGGCCTTTCAGATCAGTGACAGTAACTTTGATGTCTTTTCTTTGCCTATGGTCTCCCCAGCAATAAGATAGAGCCTCGTAGGCCGAGTCTGTGCATCTTTTTAGGGACGTATATGTTATTGAACATGATATCGGATCTTCGAACGGGCCGGGATTCAAGCGTATGAGCCGTACTTCGTCAATTTCTGTGTCGAGACTTCGGTAGAGCTGGTGCCCTGTAGCATCTGAAACCACAGCTGGAGGACCGAAAGTTGAAGCATTTTGGGGGGCCAAGATGTAATGAATCTCAATCTCCGCCTCTTGAACAAAGTTGATCCAAGCTGGATATTGTGCGACTGGGATAATCTGAATTGCGTCTCCTCCTTGAATAGCGTTGATCCATTCTGCAATCACTTGATCTTGATCGTCTGCTCTCCAACACAATTCATGCGATCTGAAAGTTGCATCGGCGTGGACGTTGTGATGTAGGACTTTCCTGGGTAATCGTTCTTGACCACCGGGAGTAGCGACAGAGGCGACAAACCAGGTGAAAGAGTTTTTGTATGTTCCATAGTACTGAGGTTCACCGCTATAACCTAAAGGACTCAGTGGGTTGGCTTATGTTCGACATGGAGTCACATACCCTGATCGTGAGATAGGGTCCTGAAGACGACTTCGTGAATCGAGTAAGCTTCTTTGGGAACTCGAAGTTCAAGGTAGACTTTCTCCGCGCATAATGTCGAGACTTCGACCAGTTTATTTCTTCTCTCTCGCACAACCTTGCGAAATGTGGACTGCATGTTGTTGAGGAGTAGCCTTCTGGAGTGGCATCGTGAATTATAAATGGGAGGAGTCGAAGTGGCATTGCGAATTAAGCCTGAACCCCCAAGAAAATACGGTCCCATCCCATTCGTGCTAAGCCCCTTCCCGCCCTAGCCCCCCACCCCC